ATTTATTTATTTATTTTATTTATTCATTTGAGGATTTGTACCAAGGACTGGAGCAGAAACAATAGGACATAGGTCCCCTGCGAGGTTTAAGCTCCAACAAATCCACCCATCCCACCCTAGGGGAGGACATCCATCACACAGCAATCTCGTGCGTGGGAAATTAACGTCTCCTACCCCTAACCCTGCAGGAGACGGGACCTCCATTTATTCGTCCCTATCCGAGAAGACTAGGATATCTAACCATTTCTTGATGTTGTAGAAAGGTAACATATTCTTCTCAATTATTTTAAGACCTTGAGTGTTAGTCCGGCCGGGGCTCGAACCCTCGACCTCCCGCACAACAGTCCAGCGCTCTATCCATTGAGCTAACCGGGAGGCGGTTTTGATCGTTTGCATGAAAAGATCATTTTTTGCGGACTATCGTTAGCTTCCCTCCTTGGAATTTTTCAGCGGATAAAGAGAGATTCTTCGTGTACCTGTTGCACTTCTTCAGGTGACATGTCCTTGGAGCGCGCAGCTAACTCAGCGGCATGCCTATCCTTCAGCTCTCGCAGTCTACGCTCTTTGTCGGCCTCAAGATGTTCAACAGCCTGAGCCTCTTCTGCAGCCAGTTCTCGTTCAAGTTTTTCGTTTACTTTCAAAGTATCTTGTTCATGTCTCTCGCGCATGTCAGCTAACGTGCGTTCCTGCTCGTTTCGTAACGCCTGCAAATAAAGATATTTACAAAGATCAGATTCGCGGTGATAAGAAAAAGTCATCAAATATTTTTTAGGTTCAAGTTCGTCGATGACTTTAACCTCAGCCTAAAGCATGTTCAACATGGTACTTCGGGTCTCGCTTCTTTTGGGAAATGTAGTCAAGGGATACGAACCTGTTCCTCTGAAGTTTCACGTGGTAATATAACTTCCGGTACGACCACGTGGTCTGCATCAACTGGCTTGTTAGCCGCGATGGCTTGGCTCTGTTCCTCTAAGATCCGCTGAGCAGCTGCTTCTTCTGCCTGCCGGCGCGCTTCTTCTTGACGACGCGCTCGACGAGCAGCAAGTTTTGCCTGAGAGGAAAAAAATCAGTGTCAATCGCATTTTGAATTATCATGCTTATATCACAAGTGCCAGATTACTTTGCCCTAATAATGAACAGTCATGACCTTAACCTCCAGCGAAAAGCAGCAATGGAACCGTTGATCAATTCAGGTATGTCTAGTGGTGATTAAGATTGCTGTTCATTTCTGACGTTCGAACCAACTAACTTCGTTAGCGTTACTATACATTCAAAGAAACCAATCAAGACTGACTCCGCCAGTGTTACCACAAAAAGGAGCGTTGTTACCTTGGTCTCTTCCAAAGATTTGAGTTTTCGTTGTTCCAAGTGTCCTAACAGCGCTTCGTTATCCTTCCTGAACTGATCCATAATCTGCTGTTGAAGAACCGCATCCAAATTGTCTCTTGTGGCCTTCATCAGAAACAGAATATCAAAAAATTAAAAAAAAGAATAGGATAATCCAATTCAATCCACCGATGATAACAAAAATACAAAATTATGAATACCCTGTTGGGGATGAGGAATAAATTTTTGATAACGAAACAATTGATTTTTAAGGTCACCTTATCAAGCAGTTCTCTGTAGGCCTGCTGTACGTTATCCATATGCGACTCGTTCAGTTTCTTGTTGATTTCTGCACTATTGCGTGCCTCTTCTGCCTCAAAGCTTCTTTCTAGAGCAGCTGTTTCCTGCTCGTGTTGCTTCAGTAACGCTGTCACATCACCACCTTCACTTATAACCTGAAGTGAAAGTCACATAAGATGATAGGAGACCAAAACGTTTTAGACTAGCATCTAGCTACCTAGAGCAGCAATAAGAGATGAGCAACTACAGCAGTGCTTAATTTACCTTGGCTTTCTCCACCTCCTGTTGTTCCCTTAGTTTGTTCAGTCGTTCTCTCTTTCTCTGCGCCACCTTTTCCTTAATAAGCGCCGTCTGCCGTCCCTGCTGTTGAGCCAGGTCACGTGACATTTTCTCCTCCAGCTCCATTTGTTCGCGTTTAATTTGCTCAGCTTGATCAGCGTAGAGGGACCCGGATGCGACAAGATCATCCTGTGATAAAACAAGAATTATTATGTCAAACATTTACCCAGAAGCAAGTACCTCTAGGATAAAACTTTACCTAAAAATGAAATTTTGAGTGCACTCTTATATTGGCGATACTCTTACCACCATAGCTCAGAACTTGTCTCCCAATTGGCGCCTGTAAACATTCGCTTGTTCAGTGGACTGCTGTTCCTCTGCTCGCGCATGCCCAATGGACTCTTCCTGAACAATCACGTCTTGTACGCTTTCTTGAATCTTTAACATTGTATCAATACTGGCCAAAGGTTTAACATCGTCCAAACGAATATTGGAGTTCACGGCCTGTGAAGACACGGAGAAATTTTTAAAATCACTCTTTCTGGCATCTTTTGCCACCAAATTACTCTTACCTCCTCCTTCTGTTTTCTTAAGAGGGCAGCCTCTTTTTCTTCTCTTCTTCTCTTCAGTTTCTCTCTCAGTGCTGCCATTTGTTTCTCTTTCTCCGATGCTAAAACTCCTTCCAACTGTGCAACTTGCCTTTCATGATCCTCCATAACAGCACGCATTTCATCTTCGCTTAGATCACCAGACATTTTTTCCGCTAGCTTCTCCGCCAACTTTTTCATTTCGCTTGAACGGATTTCTTCCTGTTAATGAACATATACTTCCACATTAGAAGCTTAACTCCTGTGTTGTTGATTCGACGAAAGTTCTAAATCTCACTTCCTTAGGAACGTAGCATACGTTACATGGATAATGAAGTATAAGTTCATTTCCTTAATTAGAATTTATGTAACAATCAACCCCCAAAACAAAACTAAAACACGAATCAGTAACTTTTTATCATCAGGAACACTAATACATAACGAATGCTGTTACTGGACAACGTGAAATGGGACCTTAACTCTTTTCATGTCAACTCCAAAGTGTGCCCAGTCACTTGTTAACAAGAAAACTTATGACGATTCAGAGAAAATGTGTGCAAGTAAAATGAAGGATTCTTAAATTTCCTTTAGTACGCCAAACCTGTTCTTTCAGAAGCTTGTGTACAACAGTCTCCTCTTCTCGTCCAGTTTGCTGCTCGAGGTGCATGCGCTCTGCATTCATTTTACGCAGGAACTCACTGACGTCACTCGTTCCTTGGATCTGCCACTGCGGCCCAGCAGCCTCACCAGTGTGCACCTCCACCACAGGATACCCAGTAGCTTGCTGGGTAAGGTTAGTAGTTCCTGTACTGCTATCTCCACCCATCACAATCATTCCAGGACCTGGCACTGTTATACTTGCGCCCGACACCACGCCTGTGTGGGAAAAGAAAACGTATTTGTTACAAGCTTTAAAGGCGATGGAGGCAAGTTTGCAATAAGGAAAATTCTACCGTGCTTTGTATATATCTTATTAACCAAGCGCGAGGGCCGTACTGGAAGAATATCGGCCCGAGGTCTTGACAGTACGGACCGAGCGCAGTGAGGTCCGTACAAAAAAAGACCGAGGGCCGATATTCTTCCAGTACGGTCCCGAGCAAGCTTGGTTAATAAGAGATTTATTATACGACTGAAGTTCAAAGGGACACAAGTGCGGTATCATTCGGGACCATTCGGGACAGTGCCCGGTCCAATACTGAGAGAATACTGACCGGCAATAGAGCATTTTGATTGGTTGATTTTAGTTATTGGCCGTCTGACTGCCCGAGTCGTGCAATAATACCTGGTATTGAAAACTGTCCCTTTTCCACTTTCTCCAACAGCATCTGAAGAGACTGCATTAACTCCTCTTCTCTAACCTGTCCACCAGCTGTCATACCGTATCTCAGGCCGTGTTCACCCGCGCCATTTCCTTGCTGCTGTTCAGTGGAGGCCTGCAACCAATCATCATCACATAAATACAAAACAGTTTAACCTTCAATAACTGCAAAAAAATTGATATAAATTAGCTGCCAGTATCGAAGGTAATTTAGAGCAGGTCACATCCTACATACCTCGCCTTCCCTTGCCCTCCCTGCCTCTTTTGTTGCTTTGATAAGTGCAGAGACGTCCATGCTATCTAACATCCCTTTTAGCTTCTCTGCCTGTTGGCTGATTCTGTCATAAAAAGCTCTCAAGTCTGCTTGGTGACGCGCGAGTTGTGATGAAACGTGTAACGTTTGATCTTCCAGTTTGTCGTAAAGAGTGCGAACATTGAAGTTTTCCAGCTCAAATCTCACATTTGGAGAATCAAACGAAGACCCTTCTGGTGAACCACGAGGTCCAAGGTCATAAATATGATCATCAATACCTAACGTATAGTAAACAGGTAGTAACGATAAGTTACAAACTCCTCTGCGAGCCTTAAAAGACAAGAAAAAACCCTGATAAATGGCTACTTACCAGGGATAGGGACTACAGGGATAGGTGCTCCAAGCGATTTGTATTTGGGCCTCAGTGCTCGTACAGGGAACCTTCCAACGCTCTTTGGGCGCCATATGATGACAGCAATTACAAGCATAATGATACACACTAGCATGAACACAATCATACCCCAGATTACTGCCCAGTCTGGAGACAGGTTTTGAGGCTAAAATTACAAAATGTGAAAAAGTAATACGTAAGGTCATTTAAACAAGAAATAAATACATGCTTGAAAGAAGCATTGGTTAAACTTTCTCCTTTTAAATTGAAACAACGAAAAAAAATAAAAAACAGTCTGAACCTAACGATTCCAGGCGCATTTCTGTTTTAAGACTACTGATGTTCCTTCTTTATTACACCGAAAAGTAATTTACCTTTTTGGCACCGACACCGAGCGTAGTCAACGTCCGTTCTGTTGTCGGTAAAATGGTTACACCTCCACACGTGGCACCCGGAGCTACCACATTCACTATTACCTCTCGGGAAGGTTCTGCGTTGTCATAAAACACAAACGTTCCATTCTGGGTAAAGACGTGCACAAAGAAGTCCAGAGAGTCATTTGATTCACGGATAAGTGAGTGAAGTTGTCTAAAGTTTCCATAATCAAACTTGTCATTTCTGTTCAACAGATGGTTCTTACGGTATCGCGGATAATGGCTTAGGCTTCGGTTTTCTGGGTTGATTTCAATTTTGAATGTTAGTGCTTGCCCATACTGAAAGCAAAAAGTTGGATTAGCGATTGTGTTGGTAGAAGGAGTAGTAGTCGAATTGTCACCAATTGCCCTTCGCCGTCTGCGCGTTACGGCCGCAACTTCTGTTTTCAGGGCGTTTTTCACGTCGTCACCAGACTTTGCTACAAGTGCCTGTACTGCTAGGTCTCTTTGGAAATATATTAATTCAGCAGGATGTTGTTCGTTGTCGTGGTCATTGACTCCGAACTCTTGGATGAAATCAAAGGATTCTGATTTTCCTCCACTCTCCTCGTACTTTATAGTTAAAATCCCTTCGGTTTTTCTTCGTATGTACATCTTGGTTCTGTTCTTCTCGCAGTCAGCCTTACAGCTTACGTTATAAAAGGGAATACAAATGCCCAACTCAGTGGAGAAAGTGGCACTACTCCACAGTTTTTGACATTTTGTAGTTTCATCCTCAGGTTTCACACATTCACCCTGTGAAGCCATTCGAGCAACACCAGTGCCACATCTTGGTAATTCCTAGAATTTAAGAGTCCCAGTAACAATGAATAAAAATGCTAAAAGGATTACAAAACAAGTTTCATTCAAACACAGAGAATCCAACAAAACAACATGCTTACAGTTTGCAGTAACATGATGGAAAATTCTCAATTAAGTGGCAGGTGACACGAAGCGAGGACAGTCGGGGATTTCAAAGACAACATGAATGGCAAAAATTGTTTCGCTTTGAACACGGGACAAACAATGCGATTTCCCAGAAGAAAATTTATTTGCTTCACCTTAGATGCAGACGTGAACGTAACGGGGTCCATACCTCAACCTGACAATCTTTGTCACTGTTTCCTTCTTCCATCTTCTCGAGGGTAATTGGGTCATAAAAGACGTACGAGGAAAGGCATTCACAGGAACCATCCGACACCTGGAAATAGCGGTGTTTGCCGTAACACTGACAAGTTGCCTGACCTTCCGTTGATGTGGCACTGCTTCCACAAGGCTTACAAGCTGTTTGATTTGATACATGGTTGTAATAGTTGGGCTCACAGAGAAAACAATCGGAGGGCGCTGTTGCCCTCAACCTAGTTCCGTAAGTACCAGGCGCACAAGCTTGAGGCTCAACAGACCCAACAGGGCAATACGCTCCTCTTGGACATGGATGCACGTATGGTCCTGTGGTACCTCCTGGGCAGAAATAACCTTTTGGACAGGTATCACATTCAGGACGCAAGGGATTATCACTGTAATTCCCTGGTTCGCACCGTCGACAGCATCTATCGTGGGAATCACGCGCTCCAGTTACATGTTCGGCCACGTAGCCAAGATTGCACTTAAGCTCTTGAGTGCTATTTGGTGGGCAATAATATGGGTATGAGCAAGGGAAATCCACCTGTGATCCATTTGGGCAGTAAGAACCACCTGAGAAAAACAAAGATAAAAATCTTAACTCCCAAAAATCTTGAAGCCCACAGGTACAAGGCCTACCTACAGTAAATAATGATAGAGGACTTAACACATACCTGGACATGGTATGGGTATTGCAGTGATGGCAGGACAATACGCTCCGGCTGGGCATAGTCTCTGCGCTGGCGAGCCCTCTGGACAGTAATACTTTGCAGCGCAAGGTATTCCTTGCACATTGATGGTATCATTTGGACAAAAGTAACCACCAGGACAAAGACCACAATCCTCTCTTCTCTCAGCCCCAGGACTTTCTCGGCGACGGCCTGCTCCGCACAGAGTTGGCCCAAGCATACTTGGGCAAAAGTTTCCGATTGGACATTTGCTGTTGTTGTAATTTACCATACCAGTGAGATTACACCAGTAGCCGGCTGGACAGGGGAAACAGTCACTCAAATCTTGGCCACCAACAATGTCTCGGTATCTGTGCATAGGGCAATCAATTGGAGCTTCCCCACGAGGACAGTACTTTCCACGAGGACAAGACACACCATATGCCGTTCCTAAAAAGATACATCTCCATTAGAAACATAGACAAGACGGATCACTCTTGACATTCACTTTAATTCATTAAACAATTGTGCAATTTATCCTCATCTCCTGAACCAACATTACCATTCAAGCAGAGTCTTCCAGCAAGGCAGGGGGTACAGTCTGAAGGTTGCCCATACCCGCCGGTGTAATTCTTCATTGTGTTAGCAGGGCAAGGAATGGGCAGGAGTGTGCCATTAGGACAATAATATCCGATGGCACAGGGACCAGCCTCAACAGGATACCAGTAACCATCTGGGTTTGGATCAGGACTACCAGCTTTACAGTAATAACCACCATCACATTGTGCAACCACCTGACCCAGGCGGCAATAAAAACCAGTGATACAGGGCAGACATTGAGATGCATTAGCCAGGCCAGTCATGTTATCATGGGTGAATGTTCCATTTGGACATCTAAGTGGTACAGTGGTGCCAGCGGGACAATAGAGCCTTGGGGGACATTTTTCCAGCTTGGAAGTCTTAATTGGACAATAATATCCGGCAGGACAGAGATCGCAGCTTGCCTGACCTTTACTGTGTTGGTTGGAACCTAATAAGAGGAGAAATACTCTTAAATATATCACACAAAAAGTTGTCGAAGATAGTGCTAGCCAAAAAAAAAGGGAAATAGAAGTATCAAAGTAAAATCATATTGCACCAGCAACACATTTTTGCCTAGAAAAATTGTTCCATGTTCAGTCGTCAAAGATGACAGACACAAACCTGCATCACACTCCTCTGGGTCTGCAGTGCCTCCCGGACAGAAGTGACCAACTGGGCACAAATATTCATGGGGCTTGGATACATTGGCTCTGGAACTCTGAGGACAGTAATACCCTGGTGCACAAGGTCCAGTTGGAAACGAGTTATTGTACCCATTACAGAAGAAACCAGGAGAGCAGTCCAGACAGTCATCGACTGATCGTGCACCTGTGCTATTACGGAATGTGCCTGTTGGACACGGAGCTGGTGCTTGCGTTCCTTCGACACAGTAGTGACCAGTTGGACAAAGACCGTTTCTTGGGTACTCTGGTAAGGCTGTGGGGGTGGAAGTGTTAGCTTTTCCTTCGCAGAACCATCCTTCTGTACACGGACCCGTAGGAACTGTCTGTGCATAATCCTATTATGGTACAGAATATATTGGTAATTATTAAAAACTAGATCATTGGATAATGCAATTCAAGAATTTTTATTGGCTTAGCCATTATGGTATATGAGCCAATATACCATAATCTACAAATATGGTAAGAGTACGCGTCAGCTTAAAATCGAAAGGGAGCTAAAAAAATCCTGTTTCTTCTTACAAAATAATTATTTCTTGGGGGCGTGTTTAATAAAACAATTATTCCACTCGCTCTTGTTGGATATGAGATGATTATAGCCAACTCGGCGCTACGCGCCTCGTTGGCCATCTATCATCTCATATCCAACGCGCGCTCGTGGAATAATTGTTAATTGTATACTTGACACTTTTTTCTACTTTAACGCACTTATTTTTCGTTCTTTTTCAGCACTAATTCAAACGTCACTTGGCACTCATTGGAAGGATATCTTTTTCAAACTTTTAGTGTCTGCAGCTTTACAATTAAAATTATTCAACATATATTTACGGAAAAAGTTTAAAGAGCGCGATGTAATTTACAACATAAAGATCACCTGACAGAATTTGCCAGAAGGACAGTCTGTGCACATATCAGCAGAGGACAGCCCAATGCGATTACCATAGGTTCCTGGAGGACATGCCACCTGGGTTCCATCTGGACAGTAGTAGCCAGCTTCACAAGGTTCAACTGACGACATGTTGTGATAAGGACACATGTTGCCTGCTCCACATGGAATACATTCTCCCTGTCCCACGTTAGGTTGATAAGTTCCAGGAAGGCAGCTCAGTTCAGTATGGGTACCTACGTATTCAGAGGGAAGTTTAAAAAGTTCCGATAACTCACAGTTTCCCTTTTTCTTGATGCTCGTCGCCTCGCGTGGAAGGGTGTGGGAGCAGGTAAAAAGGAAGGCGAGCAGAAAAAAGGAACGCGATCTACATATTTGTAAGAAAGCGGAGATATTAGAGTCCAACTACGGTTTTCGCCTCTTAACAAAGTGAAATCTGCGTGATAGCATTTGTGGAGTAAATTTTCGACTAAAAGTAAATTATTTCCCTCTTTTTCCTTCCTCAAAAGAGATACGTTAGAAGAGGAAAGCTTATTCTTTTCAAATTCTCTCGTGCTTAAGGTCCGATTTTAGTTTACGGTTACGTGATCTACAAGTTAGAAAGTCATGACACCTAGAGAGGTTTCTGCCTAAGACTTCTAAGAAGTTGGCAAGTTGTAGACGATGTAAATAAAAAAAAACTTAATCAGAGCATTTATTGTGGAACAACTAGCTCTTTTCTTCATAATTAAACAATCAACCTTTGTTATTAAGAACATGACATAAGCACGTGAGATCATTACATATATCTTATTAACCAAGCGCGAGGGCCGATATTCTTCCAGTACGGTCCCGAGCAAGCTTGGTTAATAAGAGATTTATTACACGACTGAAGTTCAAAGGGACACAAGTGCGGTATCATTCGGGACCATTCGGGACAGTGCCCGGTCCCATACTTAGAGAATATTGGACCGGCAATAGAGCATTTTGATTGGTTGATTTTAGTTATTGGCCCTCTGACTGCCCGAGTCGTGTAATACTTTTCTTTATTCTTCGCTCTCTTGACATTGACCAGCATAACAACGAAAAAGCGCTTACCAGCAGGGCAGTAGAATCCGCGGGGACAGATGTAACCCATAGATGGATGAGTAGGCTTTGGTTGGCTTGATCCTCCAGTGCACACATATCCAGCATCACATGGTGGCGCGGTATCATTTAATATACCAGAGCCATTACAATACTTTCCTACAGGACATGGGTTACACTGTGACTTGCTGGAGATACCGCCATCATTATGGAAAGTACCCGATGGACAGGGTTCAGGATCAGAACCATTAAGACAAAAATACCCTGGAGGACAAGCATCGTTAAGGAATGCGAAAGGGAAGTTCACATAATCTGGGTAGTTGATGGCTAGAAGGTCTTTATCTGGAGCTGGAGACTTGGATGCCTCTGTACAGTAATGTCCACCATAACAGTTTCCAGACGGTTGACTTAGGCCTTCTCTACCGCAATACGTTCCCCTTGGACAGCTTGTGCAGTTTTCAATAGCCGTCAAACCCAGTCTGTCATTGTAGGTGCCTGGAATCCATCAGGGAGAAAAATGGAGAGAAATATATTGTTCATCTAAATTTCAACATCGGGTTGGTAATTATGTATGACCTCCACTTTAGCATATATCGAACGAAACAGTCAGTGCATAAAAATAACAATTCCAAAAGTACTTACGTTCTGGGCATGGGAAGTTCCGATAGTCTCCAGTACCAGGTGGACAGTAATGACCTTGAGGACATAATGTTGCATTAACGACGGCCATATTTGTGGCGTCGCAGTAGTAACCTTCTGGACAACTATTACAAAAACTTTTTCCAGGCTCATTTTGGAAGGTACCATTTTCACATCTGACTGGCTGGGCTGTCCCAGCTTTACAAAAGTGACCTACTGTGCACAAATACTCTTTTGGTGTTGGCGAACTTTGTCCACCTGGGCAATAATAATTCGCCGCACAGTCCTGAGTTGGAGCAGGGTTTCCTGTACCAATACAATACTTGCCAGGGGTACAATCTCGGCAATTTGCAATTTCTGTGTTCTTTGTCGTCTTAGAGAATGTGCCACTAGGGCAAGGAACTGGAACTCCTGTGCCAGATGGACAATAGTGGCCAACCGGACAATCAAACTGGTCTCGCACAGTTGAACTATCATTACAGAAATAACCCGCAGAGCAGTTTCCAACAGGTTCAGCCAACGCCACATGCGGACAGTACTGGCCGAGTTTACATGGCAATGGTTTTGATGAGCCCCTAGGGCAATAGTGGCCTGCAGGACAAATATCACCTGTGAAATATTAAGTGGACTGCTTAAAGTACTGCAACAAACAAAGAAGTATCACATGCATACATACACACAAATGTTAATTGACCAATTCCCATGGGGGCTTTTCAGGGCCAATTCCCACCCAGCAACCACCCCATGGGAGGACATCCATCACACAATAATCTCGTGCGTGGGAAATTAACGTCTCCTACCCCTAACCCTGTAGGAGACGGGACCTCCATTTATTCGTCCCTATCCGAGAGGACTAGAGTATCTAACCATTTCTTGACGTTATAGAAAGGTAGCATATTCTTCTCACTTGTTTTAAGACCTCGAGTGTTGGTCCGATAGCATATCTCCTGAGATTATCCCGGTTTGGTGAGGCGTACACTGATTTTACAAAAGGAAGACTAGGCATAAGATGACCGGGTTAAACATACAATAGAGACCTTAAGATACTACGAAATCGGTGTACTGGTAACGGGTAGCACCATGTTTTTTTCATTTTGCGATGACGTCATCGATCTTACCCAGTAGACTCAGCCGTTTACCCGGGGTAGACACCAGTTTACCCGGGGTAGACACCAGTTTACCCGTAGAAGAATTACAAGTACGAGAGTACGAGAAGGACAAGCTACATGATGGAGAAACGAGTGAGTTTTTAAGACGTTTTGAATTGTTTGACTCTTTGGCAATGTTATTGCAAGTCTGTTCAAATTTTTTTCCCAAATTTTAAAGTTTAGCGGCAAGCGGCAAAGAAAGCGCGTCAAACTGGATTGACTTTGGATCTCAAATGCAAGGGTTGAATATCAATTTGTGGCGGTAATTTGGGGGATTTCTGAGAATTGCTCCAAGGGTTGCGTCTACCAAAAGTACTGGCATAGAAAAATAGGTAAAACCTAAGTCAACACTAGACGGAACTTTGCTTACAGCATCCGCAAGAAGAATTTCGATGTCCTCATCCTCAGTGTCAAACGCATGGAGAGAAAGCATATCATTGGCGTACTTTCTAAAGTCAGAACATTCGTAAAGGAAAATTTTGGATACATTTGATAGACTTTATTACACAATTTAGGTAACTTATTTCTGAGGAAAAAGAGCAAACCTTGCCATCGCAGCCGCCATCTTTGTAAACAGTCGTTACCAATCCCCGCGTGTTAACTCTTCGGGTATCTTAATCAAATGAGCTACGTACATGATACCCCGTACACCGATTTCGGGGTATCTTAAGGTCTCTAATGTTATATCCGCATACAATGTAAGTTTCACTTTACCTGTAGTTTTGTTCCATGCAGGACACACACATTCAAAGGCTGTGTAGCAGCTGTCCGCAGGGCTTGTTGCGTTACTGTAACTAGCAACACCAATGTCTCCCGGACGTTTGCTCCAAGAGCCGCCAGAGCAGAAAAAGCCCTCATCACAAAAGTCATTGGGCCAAACGCGCGAGGAACCTTCTCAGTACTTACCTGGATCACACAGTTTGCATGATGACTCTGATGCCTGGTCGGTAACGTTATTATAAGTACCTGGTTTGCACGGATATTGCGTGGCAAATTCTGTGCCATTTGGACAAAAATGCCCAGCAGGACATGATGCTGGTGTGACCGTGGTACCATCACAGTATTTGCCTGAAAATTACAGAAACGAATCTTGATTGAAAGCCCAAACATTTGTAGCGGAAAGAGATGATAAAAAACACTTGAAAACGAAAATATGTGTTGTTTTGTGGTGATATGGAGGAAGGTTATGAAAACAACGTTAAAGTTTGTGATAATTGTAATTTCCAGACCTGAAAGGCATGTATCACAAGCTGGCATCTTCTCCACAGCAGCATAATTTCCAGGTTCGCATGGATGAAAAGTACTGCTGCCTTCTGGACATTCATGTCCCACGGGGCACTGTCCTCCCAAACCCGTAAAATATTGATCAGGAGCACTAACGTTCACGCCTGATGTACAGTAGAACCCTAAAAACGACAAGAACAACATTTAAAAAAGCAGTGAGGTTAATCACAGTTTACTATTACACAGTCATGATAACATTACTAAGGGGGTCTCCTTCCTTATTCTCGCTATTCTCCTTAGTTTCCTAGGGATAACAGTCTAGAAACTTTAAATTAATGGACAAAAAGAGGGACATACCTCCTTGACATCTTCCAGTGACAGTGCTTCGGCCAGCTGTCTCACAGTAGAAACCACCCGGACACTGTGTACACTCAGTTTCATTTGTCAAACCTATCCTATTACCAATAGTGCCCACCGGACAAGGTTGAGTGTCATACCCTGTACCTTTGGGGCAGTAGAAACCTGCGGGGCATGGGTCAGGCAAAACTGCGCCGATGCACTGATATCCCGCTGGGCAAATATAACAGGACGAAGCACCTAAAACGCAAAATAGAACAACCTGAATAAATTTGGTGCAACTCTGGAGATAAAGAAATTATTATTAAGAGGGGTGTCTTATTTAGTTACACCGTCCAAGTGCAAAACACTGACGTAACATAAACAAAGTCAAACCCACAATTTGGTAATTATTAAGAAGGAACAACGAAAAATGTAATTCAAATGCTTAGCAAACACTTCTCTGACAGATTATGTGATACGCTTAACTGGAAAAATGACAGTTTATATTAGATAAAGGTAATTATCTGCTAGTTACATTTATGTTAATTTATATAGTGTAAGGTCCTAGTATTGTAATATTTAGGAAGTTGATTGGAAGGTGAAGAACCACCGTGTGGAGGCAGTTTCCGTAAACCACTCAACCTATTACTATTATCATCGTTATTATTATTATTATTAAAAAATACGTTTCTATAACCGCAGCTCAGATATATGAATTTCATATATTCGTTGTGTTTGATTTATCATCTTACGGGTTTGTGCCGGACTAATTTCAAGACCTGCTCCCAGTTGGCTTGTTAGCTCAATTGGTAGAGCGCTGCACTAGTATCGCAGAGGTCAGTGGTTTGAGTACTGTACAGGCCTGAATTTTTTCAGGTCTGATTTTCGCTATTGCTTAATTAGTGCTCAGTTACTGCGAGGATCGTGCACAAAATACGTTTCTATAACCGCAGTTCAGATATATGAATTTCATATATTCGTTGTATTTGTATTATCATTACTATCTTTTAAGACTACCACGTATCAAACAGAGCAATCTTTTAAATTAAACACACATAAAGAACTACCGGTATGATTCATATAAGTTCCATTGTAGCAAGGCTGTGGCTTTATGGAACCCTCTACACAGAAGCTGCCTACAGGACAGATGTCGCCAGTAACACCATCTTCTGGATTACTCTTGCTAGCGTTTCCTTTACAAAAATATCCTGCATCACAATCGCCACTAACACCGAACAACCCAGTTTGGCTGCAGAACTTCCCTGGATCGCAGCTCACACAATCTTCAAGACGTGCTTTGCGCCGCCCAGGCTGGTATGTTCCTTTGGGGCACAAAACTGGTACTGGGGTACCTGCGGGACAATAGCTACCATTGGGGCACTCTGTTCCATGCGGTTGATTGAGTGGCATCTTTTCTGGAGAGCCTCCTATACACCAGAACCCCTCCTGACATTTCTTTCTGGGAACCTCGTTCCCAGTTCCATCACAGTAAAAGCCTGCTGAACATGGGAGACAACCTGATTCGTCTTTCAGCCCTGTTTCATTATAAAAAGTTCCTGAAAAAGCGTATCAAAATATAAGTAAAATACTCCTTTGAGTTATTTAATATTACTATTGAAAGCAATTTTGCTAAAAACGTAAAACCACCTGTCTACTGATGTCAAATGGTTGAACACCGATTTAAACAGAACTTTGTAAAGCTTCCTGGAATGTTTATTAAACAATTAAGGTCTCTCGGACACAAGTCGTCATGAATGCTTTATTTAAACATCAATTCCTTATTAGGTTTTTAAATATTTTTTTCCACTCTGAAGTTCACAATGTATCTGACGCTTTTGACAATCACATCATTTTATGATCTATTTTCAAACTTATTTTTTTTTCTAGCAAGGACCTTACCAGCTGGACAGCCAATTCCCTCTGATGACCCCTCTAGGCAATATTCACCCAATTTACATGTGTTGCCTGTCACTCCATCGGTTGGTGTTGATGAAGAAGCATTAAGGACACAGAAATGACCTGCAAAAGCAATCAATTTATCAGCCACCTAACCAAGAATCCGAAAAAGCAAAATGAACCACAAACAAAAAACAATCAGTAAAGCGCTCCGTCAAGGGTTTATTTTACAACATAACAAAAAGTGAAAGCGGATATAACTGTATTACATTGTTTTTTTTTTTTTCTTTTTTGAAAAAAAAAACACTGAGTTAATACACACCTGCTGCACAAGGTCCAGTAGGTTCCGTCAACCCAGGAGAGCCACAGAAGACCTTAGGTGGACAGGGCTTACACTGTTGAGGTCCTTCCAAGCCTGTTTCATTACTGTATGTGCCAGCAGGACATGGGAATTGTTTCTCAGTCCTTGTTCCACGTGTGCAGTAACTTCCAGCGGGGCATTTGGTTGGATGTATAACACCTGTAAGACTTGTAGCTGGATCGCAGTAATAACCAGAAGGGCAAACCTTACACTTGTATTGTCCTTCTTCATCTTGATATTCTCCTGGAACACAGCTCTGCGGCTGTCCAACTCCAGTGGGACAACTACTTCCTCTAGGACAAATCACAGTGGAATTATGCGTAGAACCACTCGGACAGTAATATCCTTGCAAGCATAAAAACAACACTTCTGTCGCTCCAGGTAGTGGGCAATAGTACCCAGCAGTGCAGTTCAAACAGTCTTCTTCTTTTGACTTTCCTACATATGGAGAGAATGTTCCAACTGGACAAGCAATCTCAATTTCTGTTCCTTCCGGACAGTAGTACCCAGCTGTACAATTCCTTGGATTGGAGATAATGTCACCACCTATGCAAAAGTAGCCAGCTGTACAGTTACCTTCGGGCTCTGCAAGCCCTTCCTGACCACAGTAACGTCCTTTGAGGCAACGTTTGGGTTCAGCAGAACCTTCAGGACAGAAGTGACCGAGAGGACAAATACCTCCAGTAAAGTTCACGGAATAAAGTGGGCAAGTAAAGTCCATAGAGTTGTGGAAGGTTAAATTCACATTAGCAATAGGCCTCTTTGAGTATGCTGCTCTTTCACAGTACCATCCTTCATCACAAGGTCCGTCTGGGTAAGTGTTACCGTATCCCTCACAATACATTCCTGGTGTACATGGAGTACAGTCAGATGGCTCAGTTGCGCCGGTCTTGTTATTAAATGTGCCAGGTGTACATTTAAATGGTGTGGTTGTTTCTCTTGGACAGTAATGTCCTCGAGGACAGACTCCACCTCCTTGAGATGTATCAACTGGGTTGGGCCTTATTGCACGGATCTCACAAAAATATCCAAGATCACAGGAACCATTTGGAGCCGCTAATCCTTCATGACTACAGTACTTTCCTCCATCACAATCAACACATCCGGAACGGCTTTGCAGCCTTTGATTTGGTCCGTATGTTCCCTTTGGACATGGCTCTGGTTTATGCGACCCCACGATGCAGAAAGACCCGGCTGGGCAAGGGGCTCCAGTTATAGTATCATTTGGGGTTGGAACACTTGCACCCTCTATGCAATAATAACCTGCATGGCATGTATCAGTTGGATGTGTGATACCTGACTTGTGACAGTAGTAACCTTTCGTGCACTTGGCACACTGGTCCTCCTCCATAAGACTTGTGACATTTCCGAACGTTCCCACAGGGCATGGGAACTGCTTGGCCCATTTAGTCCCATTTGGACAGAAATAACCAGCAGGGCAGTCTAAAGGCGCAATTACTCCACAAGAGACGTTTCCTTCACAAGACATGTTCTTTCTTGCTTCATCAGGATCACAATAACTTCCAGCTGGGCATGTGTAACAGAATTCTTGTCCAGAATATGGCTGGTAAGTCCCAGCAGGACATGGATTATGAAGTCCACTTCCTTCAGGACAGAAGTGACCAGGCTGGCATTCTTTGTCTGGGGGACTTTGTTGTGTTTCTCCTGCAGGGCAGTAAAACCCTTTCGAGCAATTTCCGGCTGGATAGTCTAGTCCGTACGTGGGACAGAACTTACCAGGAATACAAGGCTTGCAATTGTTTCTGAACTGGTTGTATTCAGTATCTGCATAAGTGCCTGGTGGACACGGAGTTGGATAAGAACTCTTCACTGGACAATAATTGCCTTTCGGACATCTGTCACCATTACTTTGATTGATAGGATGACTAAAGACTGTGCTTCCATTGCAATAATAACCAGCAGAACAAACCCCAGACTCGCTGTCTAGCTTATCCGTCTCACAATAGTAGCCTGGCGTGCAAGGAAGTGGCTCATGAGAGCCAGCTGGGCAGAAGGTACCTTTTTTGCAGAAACCACCGATCTGACCAATCAATGGACAAACACCCGTCCCATTTGCTATATCACTTATATCAAGTGGCTTCTTTTGCCATGATCCACCAGTGCAAAACCAGCCACCCGCACACAAGCCTGAAGGTCGAGACAAACCATTCAATTCACAGTACATGCCGACTGGGCAGAGTTTGCAGTCTTCCAATTTATCGCCCAAAGTGTAGTTTTTGTAACTACCTTTAGGACATGGAACGGTGAATGCCGAGCCATTGGGGCAATAGTAACCTTCAGGGCAATCAGTGAAGTTAGTTGAGGCATTTGGACAGAAATAACCAGGAGGACAGACAAGACACTGACTCTGTTTCCACAGGGAATTGTACGTGCCACCGGGGCAGGCAAATGGAGAAGGAGATTCAACTGGGCAAAAGTGACCGGGAGGGCAAGGACCTCCAGTTTCAGACTGGTTATCTGGATTTGGATATATTGCTCCTCCTATGCAATAATATCCTGCATCACAAGGGCCACTAGGCCACGAAAGACCAGCTTCCTCGCAGTACTGCCCTCCAGGACACTTTAAGCAATTTCGAAGTGAATGAGCATGCGTTACGTTATTGAAGTGACCAGCAGGACAAGCCACAGGGGCCTTTGGATCACCTTGCTCACAATAGTGACCACTTGGACAGATTCCAGCGTAACCTGTGTGACCTCCAGAAGGCTGTCTTTGGTCAGAACCATTGTGACAAAAAAACCCGGCATCACATTCTCCTGTAGTTGTTGTGCTGTTCAGGTACGCACAAAAGTAACCGGGTTCACACGGTTTGCATTGATCCTCCCGGGAGAGGAATTCAACTGGACTATAGGTTCCCCGTGGACAAGGCTGCCAGTCATGTCCAGTGCCCTCAGGGCAGTACCAACCTATGAGGAGATGGCCAGCAAAACGTTACAAATTCAGCTTTAACACAAAATTCACTGATTTATCTCGCGGTACCTACCAGCAGGGCATGGTTCAGGAGACACTTTATTGACACAGTAATGTCCCGCAGGACAGGTATAACATTCTCCTGCTTGAGTGTGGTTCATAAATGTTCCCGGTGAACAAGGGATTGGAATGGCTGTACCGCTGGGGCAGTGATGTCCAATCCAGCAAACGTCACCTGAAGACAAACGGGTACAAAGTAATAAACATTTATAAGTTCCTCTTTTTAACAATGCATGATTTCATTTCAATGAAATAAAATTATAGAGCAGAAGATCAAGAGTGAGTAAAAATTCGAGGTACGTGTCGCAAAGGGAATTTATTTGTGTGCACTAGACTACTCATTTATAGACAATTTCTATCAATGAGGGTTCTCAGAGGGATCGCACTCATTAAAATAGGAAGGGAAAGTTTATCTCACGATACTAACCAGTGATACCGTCAGTTGGTTCACTGACTGAGGCATTACGTCGACAAAAGAAGCCTGCTGAGCAGTTTCCAGATGTTTCGTTGAGACCGTCTTTTGCGCAAAATTCTCCTGGTTCACAACCCTTACATTCTGCTTGGGAGCCAAGCTGTTCAGTTGGTCCATAGGTACCTTTATCACACGGGATGGTGACGTTTGTTCCACGAGGACAGTAATAACTAGACAGGGGGAAAAGAGAGTAACAAAGAATTTCAAATCTAACCTTTACATTATTCCAACTGGTTACTCGTAAATGACTTTTTTCTGTAGGTGACCTATTTAAATTCCACCACCTTATACATCAATTCCCAAAATAATCCCTTCCGACGTATACCCAAGTTAGCGCATTGATCCTCGGAAATTGAATGCTAAAGCTTTGTAGTTCCTTCCGCTATGAAAACATTTCACGATCCCTTACCAACCCATCCCATTTTAGACTTATAGCAGAGTTGTGAAGTTCCTTTCTTCACAAGTCCTAGAATGGAACTATGCCCCACTAAATAGGGCCTGCACTTGCACGAGTTTCATATAAAAACTCTCTATAGGTGGGCATTTTTCTTGGTTAAAACGGATTGGCATTAAAATGAAAGCAGTAATAAAATTATGATAATTACGATAATACTACAAAATAACAACATTAGCCTTCAAAAGAGTCCTCAAACCTCGCCATAGAGCAGTCACTTTTTTTATTGAGATCACCTTTTTGACAACTTAATGGCAAAGTAAGCCTCACCCTTTGGGGCAAATAACCCCAGTGAAACCATCATTAGGAGACTGGTTATCAGCTCGACTGATACAGTAAAAACCAACTGAACAGTCATCTGTTGGATAAACATTCCCTTCACCCTCGCAGTACTTTCCCGCAGGACAATCAGTGCATTCCTCAACTCTTTTCCTCTGTGTCTTGTCGTTGTAAGTTCCTAAAAGAGTAAGAAATAGAGCAAAGTTCTATTTAATCATTATACTATTTATTCACTGAAATAATGAAAAATGTACCACAGCCACGATATCAATAAACGACAGCAGTACTATTAAGTCAGTTTCCAAACAATGAATATTATTTGAGAGAGCGATAACATGGTAGCCTATCAGTGGCTTTGATGATGACAAATGGTTGCAGTTGTGAGAAAAAGAGGTTCAACAACTAATTCTTGCTTCTCACCTGGCGGACATTTATGCTCCTGAGCGAATTTAGTTCCATTCAAGCAGTAGTGTCCAGTGACACAAGGCTCGGGAAACTGGACCCCATGTTCACAATGTGTGGCATTGAGAATAGTTCCATCACAGAAGTAACCTTCTGGACAAATCTTACAAGTTGCCTGCTGATGTTCATCTTGATAAGTGCCAGAGTCACAAGCCTGTTCACTGACACTACCAGAAGGACAGCTATGTCCTGGGGTGCAGACATACTCTGCAGGTCTCTTCGTTTTCTGGCCACCGGGACAGAAAAATCCAGGATCACAATCCCCAGATGGCAACTCAAGGCCTTTAGCATCACAGTAATGGCCAGGCAGACACGGTTGACATCCAGATATATTTTTATTGAAAGTGGAATTGGAATATGTTCCCTCAGGACATTTTTGTGGATCGTAAGTTCCAACAGGGCAAAAGTGGCCTTTGGGACAAATTCCCCCAGTAACATTATCAGTTGGGTCTGCAACTTCAGCCCCCCGGACACAGAAATAGCCTGCATCACAGGGGCCAGAGACTTTGGACAGTTCGGCTTCCTCGCAATAGTTTCCTAAGATAAAGTGAAATTGTTAATCATAAATCCATTTATTATTTGAGTAGAATGGCTTCATCGCGCCAACCTGATTACATACAGCCTCCATTAGGTCGTCTCACACTCATCAGAATACAATGCAAAAGCTTAGTAGCAAAAGTTTGTGGTATTAGTTAACAAAACTATAGGATGAACAGATTTTCTTACCTCGTGAGCAAGGTGTAGGCTCACGTGACCCATTCGGGCAGAAAAAACCAGGCTGACAGACTCCTCCTGTTGTGGTGTTGGGGCAGAAGCAGCCATTTGTACCATTACAGTATCCTATAACACCAACATCAACTGGTTTATCAGACCAAGCTCCTCGTATGCAGTACCAGCCTCCTGCACAGTCTCCACTCGGTTCTTCAAGGCCTTCTCTGCCACAAAACTTTCCAGGAAGACATGGTGTGCAGCCACTGTAAAGAGATTCAAACTATTTGTCATTTGAAATATCAGTTCGCTGCTTTTGTCTTAAACGTTACAGAACTAGGGAGCTTACGAATCGATGACTTTCCAGAGGACGACGACGTCTCAACACTCAAAGTAGTTTATGCGCATGCGCTGCCGGATGTAGCATTATTTCGCGCGTCGTCTTAAAAGAGGCGACGACTTCAGACCAGCGGTTTTGAAGTCGTCTTTGCAGCCACGCGTCGAAAGATGTGTTTTGTTCGGAATATATCCTGAATCTAACGCTTTATCCCCAAAGACCTTCCAAATATACTAACGGGAGCTTTCCTGAAACAGTTTTTTACGTAGTACAWMMTWWTT